AAAAATTTCTATTCCACTAGCAGATCTACAAAATGATTGCTTATTGACTCAATTTCAATTTGATGGATAATTCTTACTCTCCAGCAGTGAGATTTGATGGATTATCTGTAAAACCACCTTCAGTAGTCCTTGGACGCACTGTCCAATAAGTATAGAAATTGCGAGCGAGAGGAAGTGCAGTTACTCGGTCAATAAACAATCCACAGTCAAGAGTAGTATTGACACTTTGACGTATTCTTGCTTCTAATACATCTGTAGTGTTCGGCAGTTGGACATAGACCCTGTTTCCAACTGAAGGTGCGTGTGTGTGTGTGGGGGGATATAAATAATTTTAGACACAAGTTCAATAGTACCCTTTTATCAAAAAGGTAAGCCGACTAAGCCCTACCCATAACCCATCATGGATTACCTGGAACAGGAACCCCATCTTCTGGAACTAAGAATCGGCCTGGAACAAAAGGAAAACGAACAGTGTAGTCCTGACTGTGTGTCACTGCAATCATAGAAGCCTTGAAAATGAATTGTGATGCATATTAAAACACGTGTCATTACTATCTTACTGCAATGTAAAGAAAGAAGAGCATTCTTCCATCCATAGCAGAAGCTGCTCTCCTTGAGCTACCCAGACTCTTCGCCCAATAGCAGAGCTCTCCAAGCGCCTGCACGTACTAGGAGGGAAGACTAATACAATGAAGCCGCTTGGGTTGAGATATCAGCCGTCTTGTAGGGCACAACAAAGCCAGTGGGCCATCATGGGGCAGGGGCCCCGCTCGCTCAGCATAATGATCATCGACCGGTCCCTCTCTGCTGGTAGTTTTGAGCTGAGCAAGACTAGAAGGAGTTATTATTTTATCAGAGTAGATGAGAAAAAGAAGAGCATGGGGTGTTTTCTATTTTCATAGCCTTGAAAAAAAAAGATGAATTTGAGGAGGGTCTCCTTCTTAATGTTATTAATGGTTATGAAAAGTAAAATGGACGTGACGCCATAATTATATAGCATTTCCACACAACTCCACCTACTCACATGCTCAAGCTTTTTTAAAGTTAACCACTTATTATAACAGTTATCATTATTGGATGCATTCCTTCTGCTCTTGAGTTGAAAGACTCTCAGAGACTTTGCAGTGCAGCAGCCCCTAACCCTCGCTCTTTCTTTCGACTCGACTTAAGCTTAGTCTGTGCCAGACTCTGCACTAAGTTGTTTTCAATTGTCACTGCTTTCATCAGTCTCAGCTGGTCCGGCAGCATCTCTAGGCCACCAACCGAAAGGCACGTACTACTGAGAAAATCACAGGCTACAAAACAACAGCTTAATCATTGAGGACTATTTTTTAAACAAAATTGTAAGTAGCAGTCCTTAACTAGTTTAGCTACAGTAACTGATTGTCATCAGTGTTTTGTTATTATTGTTGTTTTTTTTTCTTGGAAAAGGCAAGGGGAACTGCTTTTTTCCATTACAATCAACCAATGGAGATACACAGAGTAGTTTGCAGCAGTGCCACTGGCGGGCCTCCATCATTGGGCCTCAACTCGGACTGTCGCCGACTAGTGGACTGCGAAGAGGAAGAGGAGGAAGAAGAAGAAGAAGAGATATGCATGCGAGAGGCGACCATACTACACGATCATTCCAACGGTGGTGCGTCCAGCTCTGAAGGCTCCCCATCACCTTCTCCATCGCTACAGGACGCCATGGATAGCAGCACAGAAGGCGCTTCTGGCTGCCAGTCGCAGCAAAACCCCGTTAAGCAGTGGTCTTACGAGGAGCAATTCCGACAGGTATGATTTTAAAAAAGATTTCTTTCAGTTCATTTTCTTGTATACATAGCTATATAACCTCTCTGACGAATCGGACAGAAAAGATTTCTTGGATAAACTTTTTGATTACATGGCTAAAAAAGGTGGGTACCTGCACATTTTGCAAGCCGAGAGCCTACTGATATGACTGTCTTCTCATTATGCAGGGACCCCCATTACAAGAATACCCATAATGGCGAAACAGCCCCTAGATATGTACAAGCTATTTAAATTGGTCGTAGAGAGGGGCGGACTAGTAGAGGTAAAGGCGATGAAGACTCCACGATTTTATCTACTGCCGATATTTTTCCAATACTAATAGGTGATCAAGAAAAAAGCATGGAGGGACATAGCAAAGGAACTTAATCTTCCAGCTTCTATAACAAGTGCAGCTTTCACTATGCGCTCACAGTAAGCAGTACTAAAGTCTTAATAGTACAGAGTAATATGATATACCAGTAGATATGGTGTGGGTGAGTGTGCATTTGTTCATGTGTGTGTATGCTTAGTTTTGATGAGGTTTTGGGCTGCATTCCAGAAGGATGGTGACAATGTTGTCAGCTCTGTATAGCACTTAATCTAATTTCACATCAAAGGGCAGCTGAAATAACACTATATCATATCCCAATGAATAATTATCTTTATTTTCTACTTACACTGTATAGCTGTGTAGGAGGGCATAAAGCTAACAAACACACTTACTTAAATAATCCCTTTCTCTCTCCCTCTCTCTTTCTCACAGATATGTAAAATACCTTTATCCATACGAATGTGAAGTAGAATCTCTCTCCGATCCCAAAGAGCTTCAACTGGCCATAGAGAGTAACAAAAGAGATAGGAGACACAGCGACAACATAGAGTACATTCAACACCCTGGGAGTACCGGAAGAGAGACAGAGAGACGAGAGGCTCTAGTCTCACAACCAGCATACGCAGTGACAGGGACTCCCAGCGGACTTCATCTCATTAGCTCGCCCGGAACAGTAGCGCTACCACATTCAAACATGCCTCCTTATTCAGGCGGGTTTATCATCACACCCAGTGGACATCACATTGTACATACACCACGAATGACGACGGCAGCTGCTCCACAGCTATTACAAATGGGTGCAGCCCATCCACAACTACCAATCGTTGTCCCATCAACGACTCTACCTGGAGCATCGCCATTAGCTACAGCAATGATACCCCTAAAATCCGAGTCCTCTAGTCCTTCGTTGACCGATCGTAAGGGCCAGGATGAGAGAGAGACTCCTACTCCACCTCCTCCCCAGATCCCAGTTTTATTCCACACGGCTGCAGGGCTACAGGCAGCCCTTACTCCAGGTCAGTCTGGAGGAATGATACACATGACTGGTGGAGGGGAGCTTCCGTTGGAGAGGAGGCATGAGATCAGTGTGAGAGAGAGGGTAGAACAAGTGGAAGAGCCTCCTGCAAAAAAGATGGCAATTGACACAAGCAGCAGTGGTACAGATAATGCCATATCCAGTAGTAGAATGCCTTTCACAAATATCTCAATTAAACCAAGTGAGTGTCTATGCAGCGGAGGTATGTAGGTAGACCGCTTTGATGTTTAATGACTTGTTATTACTTGATCTTCCCTTTCTTTTAGCTACAGGTGCAAACAACTTGGAAACCAGCCCTTCGATATTGGTTCAAATTGAACTGAACAACATCATATACCAGGGAGTCCTCTTTGCCAGGCCCATACACGCCAGCCAGACTCTCTCCTCTCCCCCTCCGAGATGATGCCCTATGCTCATTACAATGACAGAACTCACAGGATTATTTTTCAAGATACTATTGTCAAGTCTCTCCTTTTCTCATATTTCTTCTCCATTGCATGTCGCTGGATAGCTGCTTTGAGCAGCAGCTACTGGAGTGCTTGCATCAACAAGGACACATCAGCACATAAGCAGACACACACCTGCACACATCATTCATATTTTTGAACACAGACATACATATCCACACAGAGCTACTTTTTTTCTCTTTCTCCAACACTTCTTGCCTTTTTCCACTTATAGATATTACATGTGTATTATCAACATAAATTATTATCATTATTATTGTTATTATTTAAGAAACCAATAGACATGATTTTTCATAATCTCATATCAACTTTTAAGTGTGTCTCAGCAGTCAGCAGTAGGTACAAATTTATAGATACTATACTCTATTTTTGATGTAAAATAGTAAATGACAACACAATACAGGTGGACCAGTCAATAATAATATTATTGTGAACAAAAATGAAGAACAAACAAAGGGAAGTATGACACCAACAACAACATAATAATAGAAATATAATACAAATGCTAACTCCTATTAAATTAGCCTGAAGGATGACTGATAATAATAATATCTCAATAGATAAAATAAAATTAATTTCTATTACTATAATACTGACATTTATGCTACAGGGCTACATGTAACTACCATTCCGACTCTACCACCTTATCGAAAGCCTTGGAAATGGTAGCAAGATGAGAATGATAGTCCCCATCAGGCAAAAAAACCTTATCAAGGAGTTCCTTATTTTGAAAAACGTCCGTAAATGAGTTGATCCTGGCGTGACTTTTCTGTGTTAAGTGTCGCTCCACAATCTTGTGAAGGAGTTCGTTGATTTCCGAGACGAGGCTAATGAGATATACAGGGTCGTATGAAAAATCAACTTCGTAGAAGCTGATGATGGTCAGTGCGGCATTGCGGAGTTTCTTTCTAAGCTGTATTCCCAACTGAAGCTCTTCATCGTTGAACTGATTGTTTTTGTATAATATCCCGAGTTTGACGATGATCTTGATCAAGTTTTTGACAATCTTTTCCGACCTCACATCACTCGACTCGAATTCCTTTGAGAGTATCAAGTGTAGAGTGTCGAGGAGTTGAGAGAGCTCGTCGTCCACAAAACTCTTTGCTAAAGTCTTGTTTGATAGCTTTCCAAGTACTTTCTTCTGAACCCTTAGACTGAGATTATGAGAGCTGAAACCACTACTAGCCACTAATGGAGGAGAGGCAGAGAGAGGGGAAGGAAGGAAAGAGAGAAAGAGGAGGAGAAAGGGAAGTAAAAGGAGTAGAGTTAGAGTGAGGAGAGGAAGGGCAAGAGACAGAGAGAGGATGGATGATCTAAGTGTTAACAGTGGAGCATTAGTTGAGGTCATGATAATAATCAAGGAAGTGAGTGCATACACATCAAAGACTTGATGAGTATAATATTCTATCACTCATTCCTGATAAACTCTTAATCCCATTCAGAGATGGCAAACAACTGAATGCAAAGAGCCATAAAACTTTAGTCAAGGCTACACCGATTACTACTAAATTACAAGTATACTCTTATTATCACAGCTTGTCACCGACAAAGCTATACATCAAATCACATATGAGCTTAGGTTACCCCCTCAAACAAATTTTAGTGTTAGTACACAACCTAAAAACTAAATGCTTTACATAATAATATCACTAGCTCTCTCTTTCTCCCCTGCCAAACAACTAGCGCCCAAAGCTGTTAAATGGATATTAGACGGTAACGAGAATTCTCCCCTGAAGACTAATGAGAGAAGCCGAAAGCTATTAAGTGGGGAGACATTCTACAAATAGACAGCCTATAGAACCCATCTCGTTAGCAACCAGGAAACAAAAGAGGCTCAAAGTGGATCTAAGTGAGAAAATTGTGATGACAAACAAAAGGTGAGGAGGAGAAACAGAAGGAGGAGGGGTAGTCATATCCCTCTATCTCCTTTGATTCAAGGGTGTGGTCACATGAAACCTTCATTTGTGGCTAATTTCTAACAGTTTATCACTTTACAAGTGTAGGCATTTCAGACTCACTTTCAAGTCCACGAGGGCGAGTGTGTCTGAGAAAGAGAGAGGGAGTGGGCTTTATGAGACACACCACAGGCCAACGCTAATAAACCTAAAAATATACATAGAGAGACGAAGGTAATATGATCACGTGTAGGAATGAGAGAGAAGAGCAACTAACCGTCCAATCTGCTATGATAAGAGTATAAACAACACACTGGCACTACTCTACAGAGACTGCGTCAGCTATTTTAGGCTCAAACACACACACACTGACTGTATCTTTATTCAGTATTCACTTGTACCCGCAAGCTAAAAGGAGGAGAAATTAACGCCCACGTGACTTTGGGATAAAAAGGCGTTGCTGGTCTGCATGAACAGATTCATCAGCTGATGATTGCAAGATTTAGGCATCATGATTTCTAATTCATGACTGACTATATCATACTGATATCATGCACCATAAAGGAACAACATCCTCCAATGCACAATAAAGCATAACAAGTTATTTTGTAAACATTATAGCCATTACATTAATTTGTATAACAATTATCACATTCTTAGCCATAAATAATAATTGATATTTCATTAATATTAATAGGTACAACATGGCGAGTCACATGGACGAAAGCATGACTGACGAGGAGCTGAGACAAGCTCTTATTCAATATAAAATAGACGCTGGGCCCATTAACAAGTCAACTCGTCCACTATACATTGCAAAATTGAGAGAAAAGCAGCCTCCTATTCAAACACAGGGTATGGGTGTGGCTAAACTTCCTGAACATGAAGATGAGAAACCAGTACCACTTGATTGTAAGCACCTTAGGCACACTATAATCTATAATTAATGCAATTGTGGTTTGATTTTGAAGCAACTTCAAAAAATTCATAAAAAATCCTAACTTGATTGGAATTGGCTCAAACTTTCTACGCAGCATAATTACATACCTACATGTATATATATGTATCAGAAAAAAAACATAAAAATGGAGAATTCTCTCCTTTTCAATTTTGGTGAAATTTGGCCCGAGACACTGTACTATAATAGTACAGGGACTTTGGCCTTAGTCATTTTTGAGCAACTTCAAAGATTTATTAAAAATCTAATTTTGATCAGAACTAGGTTGAACTTTCTATGCAACATAAGTACATGTATATGTATAAGAAAAGGTAATAAAAATGGAGAATTCTCTCTTAGTGATTTTTGATGAAATTTTGGCCAACAACCCTGTACTGGTTTTTTTCCTAAAATTGGCTTTGAAATTTTAATGACAAATTATCTAATTGGTCTTTCAAATTTCTGTGTATAGCCCTTGCTGAACCGCTACAAGAGAATTAAACTTGTTGTTGCTATAAAAACAGCTTTTATAAAACAGTTTGTCTAACTCCTGTACTTGCAATGTTATGAATGCTATCAATTACTTGGTATTTTGATTAACAGTGTATAAATGTCTCTGGAATCAACTGAATGATCCGTATCACATAGCATCCGACACGGTCATAATGTTCAGCGATGGCTGCATTCTTTATGTCTGTAGAGGGATACTGGCCTCAATTTGTAAAGGACTCAAAGTCTTGCTCTATAATCAGGAACGTAAGTTCACTTAATTATAATGCATTAATTAGTTAGTGCGTGGGTGAGGCTATTAGTGGATGGTTGTGGGTGCTAAAGGAATGTTCATATATGTACTTAATTGATTAATGAACCAATTATAGATTATCTTTTATCTCTCTCTCTCTCTCTTTTCCTTCATTTGTCCTGCACTTATGTTACATTAGCAGGATATCTGGCCTGTAATTAAAACAGTTTTGATTGTTAGTTAGCTTTTACAGTTTATTTTAATAACGGAGCTTTCTTTCCTAATTGTTACCATTAATTCGTATTATTATTATTATTATTATTTATTTCCTTCATTATTTTTTTGTCTATTACAACCTCCTTCCTTTTATTCCTTCTCCTAGCTCCGTATCCAGTTCAACTTATAGCTTCAAATGGACTCCAACACATTGTTTGGGTTCGTGGTAATGAATTCATCTCCGACTTAAAAGAGAAAATCAGTATGCAGGATCGCACTATTTTACACAATCAGCTTAAACTGTTTCACAACGAAACTGAGCTCCAAGACAAAGTAAGGCTTTCAGTAGTAGATTTGTAATAAAGCGAATGCGTCCTAGGCAACTTTACGATCACAAGGTATAGCGAGTGGATCGCTTATAAGAGTCATGGTCCTGTCGTTGGAGATGGTCCAAACCCGCTCTCCTTTCTCTGTCCAGTGTCGCATGGCTCAACCCTCTCCCTCTCTCTCCATCACTCACTTTAAACTGGGTATGGGCATGGAAGGGATTCTGCCCTTGGTACCTAACGGTTTACACAATCCTCAGGTACCCATTCCGCCTCAGGTCCAGCATATACTATGCGTTCATGATGTCCCCAGTGGCCCGTTTACGCTGATGGTGGGATTCCTGTATAATGGTACATTGCCTACTGTGACAGCACCAGGTAGTGTGAACCCTCTGTACTTGTCTGGTACATGTATGTTTGTTGTGATCATGGGAATTTGTGTTCAATGGCATTGATTTTATTAAGGGGCTCTTATATTCACTGGTAATGCTATTAATAATTAACAAAGCATTTCCAAGTACACTAAACCACCATTACTAATAGGCCAGGTTTAATTATAATGATATAAATATGTCATTTACTATTCTCTCTCTCTCTCTGCCCTTTCAATATATGCAGGAACTGAAGCTGTAGTCTTGACTATGTGCCTATCACTTGGCAAGGCATTCAATCTACATCCTTTCATTATTCATTCCTCCTATGAACTGAGAAAGATATTAAAACGTAATTCAATGCCCCAGCAGATTCAGCAGGTAAAGAAATGTGCAGAAGCCCTTGGAATAGCTTCTCTATTGGAGGAGACCTTACAAAACATTTGAACGTTCTCTTTGATCCCTTGCCCACTACTATCGCTCTTTTGTTGTGGCGATAAAGTATGTCACTTGTTTACAATCTATTTACATTATGTTAACTCTCATTATATATGATCATTATTATTGCTAGCGGGAAGTGATTGACTCTCTGTGCTTATAATATTACACGCATGTATGCTCTCATTCATTTATCTCTTGTGTTTTATTACATTTATTCATGATATCTCTTATAATGTAAAGCAATAAAAGGATGGAAGTATAACTGCATGTGACATACACATACGGGGTACATTCATGCAGTAAGGGGCTATTCATTCACATTAATGAACACTATTGTTGCTGTGGGGAGCTGTCAATTGGGTTCACAATGGTCGGAACTCTCAATCTGAAATGTGATATCCTTTCTGGGAATTAGCAAATACTAGGGCAATACACAGAAAAGGAGTACTACTTAGAGATGATGTTGTGTGACAGACCATAGAAAGCAATCTAAGATGATAATTAAGATTAAGAGACACAAGTGAGAGAGATTATGTACAGAGCCTTTATAATGAGAACATTTTGTAATGTCCCAATTGTGTTAATACAAGCCTATACAAAAGTACCTCTGAAATGAGGACACCTCTGTATTAAGGACAGGTAGTGTGGGCCCAGTGGTGTCCTTAATAAAGAGGCTACACTGTACATGTATTAAGGACAGGTAGTGTGGGCCCAATGGTGTCCTTAATGAAGAGGCTACACTGTACATGTATTAAGGACAGGTAGTGTGGGCCCAATGATGTCCTAAATAAAGAGATTACACTTAACACATAGATGCATGTAGGTGAAGGAAGGAATGGAAGAGAGGGAGATGATAACATGCAAAGCAATACAAACAACACGCGTATAATATGAAGCATATAATTACTAACATCATTGTCTTCATTACCCATTGAAAGTACATATACAAAAATTCCGTTAAATACACAATCACACTTTCAAAACAACCCATTCCCAAACAAATCCAGTGTACCAACACCTCAGAATAGTAATGGAGTCTAACAAATGTTATTCATTTCAGAGCAATGTTGATTTAACACATTGGCCACAGTTTGTCATTCGATGTAGGGAGAAATTGAGTTTAGTCATAATTTATATACGACACATGATCTGAAATGAATACAACTATTATATGCATATGTACACACACACTTGCATAATTATTGTTCCAACACAACTATAATGATGATACACACTCTGCTGTGTGTGTATACATAAAATAAAACAATGTAATATGTGATGCAATGTATTATGAATACAATGGAGATGTGACTGTTATTGTGATGTCACTATTATGCTTGTTATTGTTTGCTATATTGAAGGCCATAAAGAGAGAGAGAGGAGAGGATAGTTTTTTAAAATTGTTGATTTCTTTAAACAGCAAAGTAATATACATACATACTTCCATACACCATAACTTTAGAGGAGAGACAAGGAGATGGAGAGAGAGAGAGAGAGAGTGAGTGAGAAAGAGAGGAGACATTGAAAGCTAAGAAATCGAAACTAGAGAAAGATAAAAATAACAGCAACAACAATAGCAATACAATAACACAATAATAATGATAATAATAATAATAATAATAATAATAATAACAATAATAATAAATCTATTAGTTTTCCTAAGTAATGTACAAATTAATTAAGAGAATCAAGCTGATCTTGTATGCTTTCAAGCTATACCATAAAACAAAAGGAAAAATACACAATACATATAAGTATTAATAATATATAAGTATATATACATGCATATACAACATTGATACATGTACACGTATGCACATGTATAGATTTGCCCCTTCCAATAAACACATTTAAATCCAACTTGTCTTAACCAGCCAAAGTATTAATCCCCTGGCAGACATTAAAAGGAAAGATGGGGGCATGGATCTTTCATGCTTCCATGACAATGGCTACCAAGGCAACAATCGCCAGGGCAACGGTTGCCAGGGAGATAGGAATTACCTGCTTGTAGAATTGGTAGAGTTCGGAGTGGTTAAAGTCCAGTTTTATCTTCTCTGTCTCCTAGATGATAGAGGAGGGAGGCCATTATTAAAAAGTAAAACCACTGTTTGAAATAACAATGCCAATGATAAGACAAACAATGGAAACGGTTACTAGTTGAACAATTGCAAATTAATAGGAGGTTTTGGTTTCCGTATAGCAGAACAATTCATAATAATTTGGAAAAGTGTGAGACTGTTTACATTCATCCATAAACTAATTGGATTACAAGCTAAGCATAATCAGGGAATAACTTAGACAATATGACTGTGTTGACATTAATTATTGATTCATGAGTATACATGTATATGCTATTAGGAAGGAGAGAGAGGAGAGAGAGGGGGGGAGAGAGAGAGAGAGAGAAAGGGAAGAATAATAGAAGTGTGTGTGTACCTTTTCCTTTCCTGAAACAGTTAGTTCAAAAATGGCATTCGGTTCCTTCAGTCTCGAAAAAGACGAGTCGGCCATTTGAAGGTTGAGCCGCCATTTTGTCTCCTCCAGCTATTAAAAACACAATCACGAGGCCATGATCAAGTAATATGCTGCTCACTTGACTTGGATAGAACTGATGAGAACGGAGTTTCTCGACGACTAATTTCCCATGACTGCCCCATATCTGGGAAAAGAGACCCGCCTATGAAGAAAATGATTATAATACATATCACGCCTCATTTACCTTTTCTTCGTTAAGTCCAATCTCTTGTAATTGCTTTTGAAGGACTTGAACTTTTGCTATATTATATGCAGCCTATTACAATAGGATAAGGGGGTGCGGTCAACCACGCCCACACTAGGTGTACCTGTTGAAATATGAATACGGTCGTTTCGAGAAGGAGCTCGAGATCTTGCGAGTCTAACCCGAGGGAGCCTTGAAGCTTTTCGATTTCATCCTCACTGAAAACCGAGTCGGTCTGTGGAAAAGAGGAATGGTCACGTGATTACCACGCCCAATAAAACCCCTCCCTACCTTCAGATGGAGTTTTTGTAGTGTTCTGGAAAGTATCTTGCCAAAAGTGTCAGAATTAGCCTCATTAATAAGACCAGCCGCTTTCTTTAAGCTAAGGGAGAGATAAAAGCATAATATCCCTCTTCAGTCAAGAGTTATTCTTACCTAGGCGAAGGCTGGAATAGAACGACGGACGCCATTTTGATTTCGCTAATGAGCCACACCTTCGACTTAACGGAACACCCACGCAAAATAATTAGTAGCTCAATGCATTTAGCTATTGTTGTTTTAATAGACTGGCCCTATTATATTAAACAACCAAAGCTAATGGCCCATGTTATTAGCATGCTTTCATTGTCATAATTCCATTATAATTGTGTTATATTAAACTACATTCAATAACACAGACAGGTATTGCATTACAACAGATGAAATAGAAAAAGAACCATCAAAAACTATATATAATATCAACATCATTAAACTCAGTGATGATACAAGCATGTTATGATTACAAAGGAAAATCTAGTCCCTGATTACTTTGTTTTACAATCCATTCACTACCATACACACACACACACAAATTTTGCAAAGCAAGTACATGTACAGTATAGCTGATATACATTGTTGTTTTTACAAAAAATAGCCATCAATTATAACTTTGTTATTATTCAAAAGCAATACTATTTTAATTATATTCATTATTGTTGTTATTATTATTATTATTATTATTATTGCTACGCAGGTTGCAGGACTCAAGTTTAGAATCCTCCTGTGTCCTCAAGTGTACGGCTCTCCTTCAGCTCCTTAAGTCTCGCCACTAGCCTATCCAGTGTCACCTCACCGTGCACCACATTGTCCCTCGTCCTCACATTAACCGTTTGACCAGCGACCTCCTTCTCTCCAACAACTAAAAGAACATATAAATTATGCGCATAATAATAATTTTCTAGAATTAATAATTACAATAATATATAACATGTACAATGTACACGTAATTTTTATGACAAATAAATTATTTAATTTGCATGACAGACTACATGTACAACAATTGCAGAGCCTTGCAGTAGAATGGGTGGAGGCTCACCTAGTATGTAGTTGAATTGCTCAAGTTGGGCATTTCTTATCTTCTTGTTCATAGTATCACCAGTTGAGAGATCAATGTCAACCATGAAACCAGCATCATGGAGTCTTTGTTTAACCTGAAGAGAGAGAGAGAGAGAGAGTGATGATGTCATTAAAATCATGGACACACACAGTTCCACAGATACTGTATACATTATAAAAAGGTGAACTCTTGATTATAAGCATGGGCTAATGCACACACACACCAGGAAACACAGCATAAAAATCCAATCTCCAGTTACTATTTTTCTAAAGGCATCAAGCATATCAAGTTAAGCCACGAATCTATGACCAACTGATATCAAGTCTCAACTGGAGTCTCACAAGACAGGGCTAAACCAGCCCCTTTAAACATGATCAGGTTATATAGAAATGAAACACAATAGGAGCTCTTATGGCAGAGGATCCCTTTGATGTGTGACATAGTATATGTACAGATCGATGGCCAATATTTGGGCAAGATGCAAGGCAGAGATTGAGAGCTAGCATAAACATAGAGTGTCAATAAAGAAAGATTATCTCATCCTTATAATCGCTGATTAAAATTCTCTCACTCACTCTTCCCGCGATTAAATTGTTTGTAATGATAAATATTGTCATATTGTGCCATTTTACAAATCAGAATTAAGATTTTTCCATACCTCCTTACACACATTGTTTACTAGAGAAATCCCTCCAGTACCAATTTAGCCAATACCAACAGATGATAAGCACAATTACATCTATGCCTTCTCCCTCGAAACACATTAAATCCACTCCCTCAAACTCTCCTTCCTCTCCATTTCCCTTTCTTGTCTGACACAAGTTCCCCTTGTCAAAAAAATGCAAAAAAAAACGTTAATCGACGCATACATGTACATGTAATTAAACTGATTAAATCGAGAGAGGGTGTGTCGTAACATGTAAGGTGTTTACGTCTCTCTTCGACAGGCGATACCCTTGAGCCCATGAACAGATACACTATCTAATTACAATTCAAAGATGCATGAATGCTTGAAATCTTTAATAATGTAATAATAGAGAGCTAATATGGATTCTGTGCATTAGATATAGTGGATGTTCTATGGGTACAAGGCTCTGTAGTACAAAGGTTGCATTAGGGCTAAGATGGACTCAAAAATAATGAGCACGGACACTTTAAGGTAACAGTCGCCTGCGGAGGTTCTAATTCTTCTTCAAAAGCTTTCAAGTCATTTAAAGATACTAACTGATGACAATTGGTTTGTTTTTACAGAATGGAAGTTAGTCATGGACTATTGAATGACAAAAATTACTAGCAATCATATATCAAAGCTAATCACATAAATAGCATAAGTCAGGGCATACAAAGGAATTTGACTGTGTACAAGCACGACTTGGTAACACTAGCAGCAATTATGCGCATAAGTTTATCTTTGATAAGATTTCTATCAGAACAATAGCCAAACAGACTCTGGTTGGATGTAATCGGATATTTTAACAGCTACTCCAAACATCTGGGTTGTATATAAACAGATTATATACTGAGGTATTAATACACACAGAATGATATCAAAGAAAAAAAAGAAGAGAGAGTACAATGTAAGATATGCTAATTATCAGGAAAGCCAGCAAGACAATATTAAAAGATACAACAGCTGCTTTAATATACCTATAAGTATTAGAGTATAAACTGAAGACTATAATTTAAGCATAAATTTTCAAGAACCAATGTACATACATGTACATGTAGCAGGACTAAAATCGTTCCAAGCTTTAAAAGTTCTAAACGTAATAAATGAGCAAAAGAGATTGCAATGACAAGTTGGTCAACTTAGTTTTGCTATCTATGATCCTACAATCAAAAAATGTAAATAAAAATTCATAAATTTGATATTAACGATCATAATTATGTAAGATTACAGCAATGCCTGACAGAGACAGAGAGAGGAATGCAAGCAATGTAGGAGCTATAATGTACCCATATATACCAATATAAATAGGACTGGTATCAATAATCATACTTGACATTACAAACCCACAAAAGTTAGTTACCTCACTTCTCTTGTTTACTACTGCGTGCATAGTCACTAATTTATACTCTTATTGAACTCATTTGTACTCAATTCATTCAGTCGTTTGCAAAAGTATAAGTGATGGCATTGATTCCAAGAAATCAGCTCAATCATGATCACGCTAGTACTTACATGTACATGTACATGTATGTACTTATTACATGTAAATGCATGTACATGTGTACATGTAATAATGATTTCAGTAAAGAATGTAATTTTTATTGGAATTAGCTCAAGCAGCATGATACATAACATAAGAATATGTACAGTACATGTATCAGAAAATGTAAAAGCCAGTTGTGATTTTGGAGCGACTTTAAAAATTTGTAAAAAATCCAGATTTGATCAGAATTAGCTCAAACTTTCTACGCAGCATAAAAACATGTATATGCATCAGGAAAAAATATAAAAATAAAGAATTCTTTCCTAGTCATTTTTGATCAAATTTGGCCAAAGACACTGTACTATAGTACAGGGACTTTGGCCTGATTTTTAGTAACTTAAAAAATTTGTAAAAAATACAATTTTGATCGGAATCAGCTCAAACTTTCTATGGTGCATAAGAACATGTATATGTATAAAATAAATTATAAAAAATGAAGAATTCTCTCGTAGCCATTTTTGATGAAGATCCCTGTACTATATAGTCCAGGGTCGTTGGCCAAACTTTGGAGCAACTTTTATAAGTGCATGGTCCAGGACTCATACATGTATAGTCTTACCTGTAAACCATATTCATCAAAAGTTGATGCAACTGGTACTATCATAACTTGACAGGGAGAAAGCCAGAATGGCCTAAGAAGGGAGAGAGAGAGAGAGAGAGTATGTGTGTGTGTGCATGTATAATGATAGTACGTCACATAAAGATTAAGAGCTAAACAGACCACTCTTCCTCCTACCATTTCCCTCCATAGCTCTCTGTCAATACAGCAATGCAGCGTTCAACTGATCCAAGGATAGCTCTATGTATGATAACAGGACGCTTTTGCTTTCTTTCATCACTCTCACCCCTATACATGAAAGACAATGATAGAGATTAGGTTATCAGGTGCTCTGACCTTCCAATACCCAGTACATATAAACCTTGATAAAGGTTGAAAGAAGAGGAGGGAGGAGGGAAAAGAGCTAATATACTGGCCTATATAACCTCTTCTCAATACAGAGGTATGACTCTCATCATTGTAGAGGTGCTTTTGTATAGGCTGAGCTTGCCAATTGGGAATACGTGTCTTCACTATTAAGGTGTCTTAGTGGTGATGGATTAATTCCACTTTAATCCACACCTTAATAAATACATGTACATGTATATACAGTGCATGTACATGCACACACAATGGGACTCATTAGACTGTAATAAAATAAACAATAGGCTTGGGCAACAAAGAGGAAGATTAGAGTATAAAAATTAGAAAAATCCAGTTAATAATAAACAGAAAAACTCGTACAATAACATTCCACATAGTTCAGCAAGCACACATAAATGTATACTCATCAAATCAAGAAAGAAAATTATTAAAGCCTGCAATAGAATCACTCCATTCACAATTGAAAGGAGACATTCACAATCTAAAAGGAGAAATCATAAGAGCATATTATATGCATATGTGTGCATGTATTGATATTAATGTATGGACATAGCAACCACTGCATTAGAAGAGTATGACTACAAAGGAATATTACACACACACACACACACACACACCTTCATACTTTATAATGCACTGCTGATTGTGGTGTGTATTTCCTTGCTCACTACATTGTTATCATTGGGATAACATTGAAATGCCTTTGATGTGAAGGCTAGAATAACCACAAGCAGTGGTCCCTGTCTTAATTGAGTGCATTCCACTACACAGGGATTGCTTTATATCCTAATGGCATTAGCTTTAGAGCACTTTCATATAATGTAATCAACCGGCAACAAAAGGAAAACATAATAGCTCATTCTCCCTCTCTCCCTACCCTTTTCCCTCCCTTAATCTTCCCCCCCTCTCTCTCCTTCCATCTCCCTCCCTCTCTCTCTTTCTCCTTCCATCTCCCTCTCTCTCTCTCTTTCTCCTTCCATCTCCTTCTCCCTCTCTCTCTTCCTCCTTCCCCCACTCTCTCTCTCTTCCTCCTTCTATCTCCCCCTCTTTCTCTCTTTTTCTGCCCAACAAGCAGCTAATTACAGACAAGGAAGGAAAGGCTAGAAGAGGAAAGAATGAAGGAAAGAGATATTAAAAGAGCCCAGATGTCATTAAAAGCCATACAAGCATGAGGATGCAGAGCCACTAACTAAGTAATTCTATTTACATAAGAAGGCAAGGGAATGGAAGGGAGGGAAAGAGGATGAGGTGGGATCACGTAAGGGTTAATTGGATGCATGGTTTATCTTTAAAATGGAAGCAATTACTATATTGCACATCCTAGAGGATAGAACCACAATAAAAGACATGAAATTGATATCACATGTAAGCAGACACACACATGCGCATAGCACAGGGCATATTATATCACTACTGATGTTTGGCAGTGATTTAACTTCATGTAATCATGACAAATGTGCTAATATGCATCTCTTTCTAAGCCTTTTCTATTCTATATATCCTTCTGTCCCTCTCTCTCTCTCTCTCTCTCTTGTATTTCCTATGTACATGTACATGTACTCACTATAAAAGCCTACAGATTGTTTTGCACATATTTTAGATTGAAAACTCATTAATTTTTTATGACGATTCACACGCACACGTATCTTTTTTGTTCTAAAGTGGCAGACAGGAGAATATCAAGGGTACTATAGCGCCAATGAGAGAGTTACAGTTTAGACCATTAACACTCAATGGACTGCTATAGACAATGCAAGCACTTGTACACATTGTGCCATAAAAAGAGACAGTGGCCCATTGTTGAATGTCAATTGTCACCTGAGCATATAACAGTATCAATATTATCAGTACTATAAAACACTTTAGCTAAAAAAAAGAAGTGCCAGTACTTTCATTTAATTATAGTTATTTTTTTAAGATTCTCTTTTCTTCTTAGTTAGTTTAGTTATTTAATGAGGATCAAAATAGCCTTACTAAATTAGCTTTAGTTAGTACAATATTAAATGTTAGTTATGCCTTGCCTTGCTTATCCTTTTAAATTAATTCTTAGTTCAAGTTTTAACTAAAACAACATTATATATTGCTGTTTTCATGTTCTTTATATCATTTCAACTAGCAATTATAAACCAATTGATCAAAAAGATCTGAATATGTGTTACATGCATTTGGCTTCAAGGACATTTCACACGCAATAATAATGACAATCTCCTACATGTTCCTTTGCTAATGTGCAGTTCACATTTATAAGAATAATGATTAATAATAATAATAATATGATATAATGTATACTACAAAGTACGTGTTACATAATGCTTGTGGACAAAAAGGCGTTCTAACCTCAATCCCATATTATAAACAGCTGGTAACGTACAACAGACACATACCCAACCAAATGGTAATTGATCAATAGTTACTATCAAGACTAGTGGCTTACCAACCTCTTACCTCCATCACACATGCTGATGTACATATACTCATGTAGCATATAATGCATGGGCAGTACTTTAATACAAGTAATGCATGAGGTAGGATTACAGATGCACATGTACATGTACATGTATATGTACAACTACATGTATATACATGTAAATGACAGTACTAACAAACATATAGACTTACATGTACACAGACTATAACATATGCCTTGCAGACATACATGTAGTATACCATCATTACAAATACAGTCTACA